TCATTTCTACTTGTCTGTTTGTCTGGAATGCTTTTCCTGCAGTGTTAAGAGGCAGAGAATTATGTGTAGGCTAGTATGGGTGGAGACAATGAATGTAAGGGGAGAGCCAATGTGAAGAGTTTTTCAATACTGTGTGGAAACTTGTGTTCTATGTTGGAATTTTACAATGGAAAATATCTGAGTTTCCCAACAGGGAGGAGGAGTCACATTTTGAGAAGTTCTTGGCAACATAACTGCCACTTTAAAAGCAGTTTCAGTCGAGTGGGTCACCAGGCTCTAGGACAGGGATCTATAGATACATGTACGGAAAAGTGACTCAAGGAAATGTTCTGCAGGGAAAACAAAACTGTCTGGTAGATCTAGAGAGTACAACATCAAGTTAGGAGGATAATTTTGTTGTTTGTTTTATTTTCACTTGATCAAAAAGGGTCAGTTGATTCTATTCTTGCTCTCTGCAATCCATTTCCATGCTGCTGTGAAAAGATCTCTTAAAGTTTTTATCTCACATATTTCTATCAACAGATGAATGAATGAAGAAAATGTGTACATATACACAGTGGAGTATGACTCAGCCATAAAGAACCATAAATTTGAGACATTTGGAGGAAAATAGATGCACCTTAAGACCATAGTGCTAGTGAAATAAATCAGACATGGAAAGTTAATAATTGCATGGGAAATCTAAAACAAGAATAACTTAAAGTATAAAATGAAAGATGGTTGAAACAAGGAAGTAGACTTAGTGGAGACAGAGAAGGGTACCTGGGGACTGGTAGAGATGGGAGCGAGGGGAGGGAAAGGGGAAGAAAAAAGGGTTAAGATCTCCCCAAGATGAATGTAATTATTATGTATCACAAACGTATACTAATGAACAACTAACAAAGATATTTTTCTTTAATGTAAGTTGTGACACACTTGCATTTTAATAGAAGAGTAGGGAGGATGAGTACACCTGCATATAGGTTTGTAAATTTAGTGGAAAATAAGAAAGTTCTTCCCTTTCACCTTTAATGACTTCAGTTTCTCAATACAGAGACAAGTGCATTAACTGAGTAGTAACAGAGAAACGGCTTGTAAGTAGTGTGAGAAAGAGGAGCAGTTCCAAACTAATCACATTGCTGTGAGAGACTGAAGTAAACTAAGGGAACAACTAAGCCACTTTTCTGTAGTCCAATGAAATTGGACTAGTTGGGATTGGGAGTTATGATTTGGATGTACGATTTGAAAACCATAGTTTGTGATATTTTTCTTGGTTAGTATTCAACTGAATGGTCTATTTCTTTAACTACTTCAAATTAAATAATGCATTCAACATTATTCATTATCTTCCCCAAAAGATATTTCTAATCTAGTGTTTTCTAAACTGAGAAAATGACACTGATATTTTCTATGCAGTTCTTTCCAAACATTTTAGAGTCATTTCTAAAAAATTCTTTTATTGGTACATTGTAGGTGTACAATACATTTACATTTCTCGTTGGGAACTGTACCTTTACATGATGTATCTTGGTTCTTGTTTTTTCCCCAATCCTTGCACTTTCTTCACCCCTCCACCCTTCCCTATTTACAAAGACTTTGTTTCCATTTTTTCCATTTCTCATCATTTTTCCTTTCCCTTCTTTCCTTTCCCCTGCCCCTCCCACTTCCCCTACCCCTTTGGACCTATTCTTCCTATTTTGCATTATCAATTATTCATTCTAATCATTGGTACATTTTAGGTAGAGTCATTTTTAAGACTTCCTACACACTCTTTTGACTCAGTGTATGATGAGATCTAGTTGATGTTGTCTCATTTTCATTGCTTAGAGTTTCCTACCTTTATCTATCAACATCAGAATGGCTCTTCTTACCTATCAGTATCTGTTCTTGGACCAATGTAATTAAAAAACATAAAAACAAAAAGATCTTGCTTTCTCTAATCCATTCCCATTCTTCAATTATCTCCTAATTACCAATTTGATCTTATTATTTACCTACTAAAACTATAGTTACTGTAAGTATATTAAATTTTAATTCATTGAAATCTATAATGACTTTCCTTTACCTGTAAAATGAAGTCTCAAATACATTTTTCTTTCAGTGGATTTATCTCCTGAATAACTAATTGTAAGTTGAAAACATCATAAGTCAAAAATGCAAGTCAAAAATGCCAAGTCCATAGCTCCACCTAGCTTGTCTGAAGCAAACTCAGAACGCTTACATGAGCCTGTGGTTGGTCACAGTTGTCTCACACAATGCCTGTTTGGGACAGGGCACAGAGCTGGCCAGCTGGGAGCACTGCTGTTGCCCACTCGGTGTGGTGGGGAATGGCTGGCATGGATCACTCGCCTGCAAAAGTTCAAAATTAAAAACCCAAAGTACAGTTTTTATTGAATTCATATCACTTTCATTCCCTCATAAAACTGAAAATTTGCAAATTGAACCATCATTAATTTGGGGACGGTCTATTCTAGGTTTTGTGAAATGGTGCCATTTGCTGTGTATTAATTTGTCTCTTTTACTTTATTCACCTGTCTTCCTGTTCAGATCTTTAGTATTCTTCACCTCACATGGTCCTTTGAAAGGATTTTTTTCCCTGTAGGACACTGCAAAACTCCTACTCAAATAATTTACCTAATCTTTCAAATCTCAACAGAGACTCACTTCCTAAGGAAAGTATTCTTTTATGATTTTGCTTAAACTGGGTGGTTTGTGTTCACTCCCATCTCTTTCCCAGCATAATCGTCTTTATAATTATTGATGCAGCACTTCTGAACCAGTAATGACACAGTTGTTACCTCTGTAACCCATTACCAAGCAGTTTCTGGCCAATCACACCTGGTGAGAAACAAAAATTTTACTGCCAGGTGTGGTGGTGCAGACCTGTAATCCCAGCACTTTAGAGGCTGAGGCAGGAAGATCACCATGTGTTCAAGGCCAGATACGTAGTGAGTTCAAGACCAGGCTGAACTTCTTAGTGAGACCCTGTCTCAAAAACCCAAAAGAAAAATAATTATTAAACTATTATCTATATTTTCATTGGATTTGTATTATTTCCTTTCTCCAGATCTATCATGGGAGATCTGAACAAGAGTGTTGTACATGAAGTCATATAGTTTTTAAATTGAAATGCACTCAATATATAGAAAAGAGTATTTCATGGATGATAAATGAATTCCAAATATGCATAACCTGTGGATAGATACTTCATCCCTTGGAAAAATAGAGTTTAAAGTGAGAGTGGTTATATTAAAAGGATAAAAGGAGAAAAATTGGATAACTTTTCTAAGTATGGTATTGGCTCCTACAGCAATCCTATTATGAGAAAATAATATTTTAAAACTTCTCCTAATCATTTAACTACAAGAATGGCCCTAATACTATCAAAAAGCTTTCTTTATCTTTTGAATACTTTCTCATTTTCTCTGAATCTATAAGAGCATTAAGGCTTTACTATCACCGTAATTAGATCTCCTGAAAAAAGTACGTACTGATTTTTCCCAATTCCTGATTATTCATGGTGATGGCAGAAAGCCTTAGCGTGGATTACTAAAACCTGAGATCATTTATAGCACATGGAAATTAGCCCCAGCTCATTATGTCTATCAGAAATTTCTATTGGAATATGAATTTGGCTTTGAGCTTCAGCAAATGTGCATTGATGCTTGAATAAATACTCTAGTGTACGTAGTGAATTTTGAAGATAAAAGAAATATAGTTGATTAGCTTTATGTAAAATAAGCCCTGAAAACTACTTAAAATATCATTCTGGTAGCCTGTAATTAGCCCAGAATGAGCAATAAAAATAGTGAAGTTTGGCTTTTTTATCTATTGAGAAGAAAAATATGAATGTCTGTGGAAGCCACAGATGAAAAGAGGCACTTCATGAACCCTCGCTTACCTGACCACCAACTGAGAAAAGTTAACGCAAATACCAGCAAATGTGTTCTCCACTTGACCCTAAATAGGCCAGTAACGCTCTTCACACCATTGAATTTATTCATTGCTGCATTCCATGACCTTTTCTGAACATGTGTTGTGGTCACACAGTGGAACAATTGGCGTGAATGCAAAACTGAACAAGATGTAATTTCTCCTTTTGACAAGCATTGCGATGTGTACAGTATATAAGTATTACTGACATCACACTAGATAAATATTGTTAGCAAGAATCTCAGACAAATATTTTAAAATGAGTATAATGTACAACAAATGCCTAAAATCTGACTCCTCCCATAATCAGTATACTACGAATGATATACCAGATTGTGTACTTATTTGTTTACTTATTTATTCATTTCTCTTTTCATCTTTTTTTTTCAGTACTGGGCATTGAACTCAGGGCCATTGCACTGAGCTGTATTATATCCCAGTCCCTCCTGCTTTTTTCCTTTTCCATTTTGAGACAAGGTCTCCCTAGGTTCCTAGACTGCCCAGGCTCAGCTTGAACCTGCAGTTTCCCTGTCACAGCCTCCAAGAGTGCTGGGATTGCAGAATGTGCCAGAAAGCCTGGTTTATACTAGCTCATCTATGCATTCTCCCAATCTCACAGGATTTGGGGAGCTTTCAGCACCTAATATGTATCAATTTAATATCAAAATTTATCAATTTAATATCAAAATTTTGAGCAGCTATTATGTATCATACCTTTCTAGATTATGAGATATTTTACATTTTTAATATAGTTGCAGTATTAATAAAGCAAAATTCTACCAAAGCACTGCTTCAATCTTACATATATAAGTATTTGCCTTTATATATATTATTTATTATAAGCTCCTCTAGCTATTTATTTCATTAAAATACGTACACTCAATAGATGATTAATTTGAATACTTTAATTATTTGATTATCTGGATGGTCTGGTACTTATGATCCAGAAGCTTATGAAAAAAATCTGAAATGATGCAAAGATTGTCATGTCTCTAATCTATGTGTACTCGTCAAAATAAAACCTGATTTGCAAGAGAAACACTGCTTCCATGCCTGGGAAAAGCTCAGTCTCTCATTTCTTTTGACAGTGTGCAGACCGGGGTTCTTCAAAGCCTCACCTCACAGCCAGACCTGCAGCAAATGCCCACCTCACAGTTACACCCATGAGGAAGCTTCCACCTCTTGTGTCTGTGAAAAGGATTATTTCAGGAGGGAATCTGATCCACCCACAATGGCATGCACAAGTAAGGAACCCCACGGATTCTAGGTGACGCTAACTTTCACCAGTTTGAAGAAACCGCATGATAGAGCCTGTTAGCTTCAATTGACATTCCCCCCAAAACAGACATAGTGTTTAATCTGCTCAATACAGTCTTCATCACATTTCAGTCTTCTTGTGTAAGCATTGAAAAATTTGAATCTTTATTATCATTCATGACTTAAAGAATCTTTTTTTCCTTAGCTGTAAATCTGAAACACAGATTTGCAATTTTTCCTTTTATTTTGTGCTTTGCTTTAGTGTTCTTGACAGCCAAATATGACTTTGGAATATCTACTTTCCTTTTCACATCAAACTTGTTTTTTTCTTCTTTCTAACCCAGTTTTTGATCACATAATTATGAGTAAAGGGCACTTTCATCTTGTTCTAACCTGCTCCACTGACCCACAAGGTCATTAAGAAGGTCATTCAGAAAGAATATAGGAAATATGTCAAGTGCATGGAGCACTAGGGGTGACAAACCGCCTTTCAGTTTTATATAACATCTAGTTGTTATCCACTGCTCTACTGCAGCTGTTATGTTGCTTGTTTATGAATATACTTCACTATCATTAATAACATAGTTAATGCCCACATAATCAGTATAGATAGATATTGAACATAAATATCTGTAGTGTATGAATGGACATTTACCAATACTTTTCATGCTTTTGTTTTTTTTAGTTTTTCATATACTTCTGGGACTGTAACACATTTACATATTTGTTTGCTTTTTGACAATACTTTCAGAGTTTAACCATAAGCAAAATCTATAGCAAATGAAACAAAAACCAGAAAATAAATAGGAAAAAATGTGAATCCATCCTTTTTCACAACTTTCACCTTCTATAACTTTCCTTGTTTAACAATAGTAAGTCCTACCTAGGAAGGCGTATTTGCTCTTAGAGATATTCACAAACACTCCGGGAAGTTTACTGCTTATATCTAACCCTGAATAGACATTCTAGACTCCATCTTATCATATATTCACAAATTGAAATTTTATCTGAATTTCATAGTGTCTGAATTTTATAGTCAGTGTAACATTTTCAGAATTCCTCGCATTAATCATTGATATTAACTTCACATTACTGAAAATCTTTCTGTTGATCCCAAGACTGATTGTTTTATAGGTTAGATGATTACTATTGACAAATAATTCCGCGTCAAATGAGTAAATGTTACTATAATATACACTTTTGGAAAGATGCATTTGATTTTAAGCGATGGACTCTGGTTACAGTGCAGTTTCAAACAATTGTTTAGGTCAGTGAGATTGAAAGAGTCTCCAGGTAATAGGAAAAATACAGGCCAGACAATAGGCTGGTGTGTTAAGGTAAGACAACCTTGTATTGAATTGTCTTTTCAATATCTTTAATTTCTAGTTAATATTTTTTTAGAAGTGATCCAGCCATGATCTTTCTCTTTTTGGCCTAAGTGTGAGCCTCCCTTTTTGTATATTTGCTGTTTGGGAACAGGAGAGGGCCTGTGGTTTGGTGGCAAGGATCTAGCTTAGCACTCTCTTAGGGTTAAAGCCCATAGGCAGGCTTCACGATTCCTCTGTCAGGATGTATGTGAATTTCTAATACTGTGTCTGAAAAGAACATTAATTCATATCCATTTCTCAAAATAGGCTATTGTGAGTGTGTGTGTGTGTGTCTCTTTTGCTTGCATTCAAAAAACCACAAATACTGTGTATGATCCCTTCGTGGCTTAATTGATATTTAGATGAAGGTCATGAACTTTTTGCCTTTGGCTCTTCAGAAATGAATTTACATTTTCAACTCCTTTTAATATTTTTTCTGAAATATACATAAAATATGAACAATAAAATGTTGTAAGTCTACTGAAATAGTCTAGCAAAAGAAAAACTAAAATTTTAATGAAGCTAATTAAATCAAAAGTACTTCACATGGTTCTACTTTGTTCACACATCAAACATACTATTAGGGCACTGGAAGTTTTTAGTTATACATTAAGTCCAAGCTTTTACTTTTTATGTCTACTCTAGAGCTTTCCCTGAGTTTGAGTTTCTTTTTAATTTTGTCAGTATGTGCCCCCACCTAAACGTTGAGGAGCTATTAGCAGCAGAATTAGAACAAAAGAAAAAAATCAAACTGGTTCATTTTTATAGATTTAGGTGAAAGTTGATAAATGCAAGTATTTTACAGTTGGGAGCGAAAAAAAGCAGACATTTGACATTTTTCTAAACTAGATGAATTTTGGCTATGTTTTACCTTTTTCCGAGAAGTTGACCTCAAATTAAAATTTCTCCACAATGTGTTATAATTAAATAAGCTAAAAGTTTTTAATTAGCAATAATGCTTATATTTCCATCTTAAGCAATTTTTGTGACTGAAATGACTTTTACATTGAAGTATGTGAGGTTGAACATATTTGGCCAAATTCAAAGAATTCAACCTAAATATAATCATCGTAGGGATTGTTTTGGCAAAAGAGAAAATGTCAACTCTTTGTTGTGGGGTTCCTTCATTTAAATGCCATTTTTTAAAAAGCTAAATCCCTAAGTACTAGGTAAATTTCTCATTACTTTTATGTTTATTCCTCAACAGTTATGTCTTAATAAATGTTAGGTAGAAATTAATGTTGGTCTTTGTTTTTAAAGCAAATAGTACCTGTTAGGATAACTGATGTTTATCATCTTCAGTAGTTATATTTATGCTTGTAACCATTTAAATATCATCATAATTCCATTTTATTTCCTGTAGAAAGAGAAATTCGGACTTTGAAATAAAAATAAATGTGTTTTCTATTTCAGAATATCTGATAGTATAACACATACAGCTTACTAAAATTTTCACTGTAAATATCTCATAATCAACTTTTTAGGTACACACTATATGAACAATTTTAGTTCTCTTTGTATGCTAATTATTAAGTTCAGAAACAGTTAAAATAATATTCAAATAGGCTGTTATTATTTGAGAAATCTTTCAAGCAATTTAAACTGCAGATTTCATAACTAAAATTTAATGGAAATGTTCCATCTTATTTAAATAAGATGATTCTGAATATAAATGTTTCTAAAATTATATTCAATTTATATTAACATATGGACAAAGTAAAGTGTCTAATAAATACTGAATGAAATTAGGAAAGGTACTACTCTGAGATATAATGATTCTATGAAAATAGTTTAGCTAAGTGCATTGTTTTCCTTACTGTGGTGGGTTACTGGAGATTATAATTTGACCTACAGATCATTTAAAATATCTTGGTTTTTCACTCTTCATACTGAAGTGCCTTTGAGAGTTAGTTTTGAAATGAATTTCAGACTTTCAATTAAGTAAAATTCAAACTTGCAGAACTGTGATATGAAAAGAATAGTGAATAAAAGAAGTTTTCCTACAGATTGTGATGTTAACCAATTACTTACCAGTGATTTTTCACTTTAGAGAGAGGGTTTCACATTCTGTTGGTATTTATCTAGTAATTTTGCAATCTGTTGTGAGGTAAGCTAAGGATTTTTTTTTTAACTTGTTACAGAATTTGTCTTCAAGAGCCACACTGAAAAGTACTGTTTTTACCTGTGCTTCTGACTTAGTGTACTTTCCGTTCACTACTTAGTATCAGTGAAGAAATAATCAGTTCAATCCCCAAGAACTCATTTACCACTTTTTTTTTCCCTAAGCAGGATGAGGAAGATGTTAACATTTATTTCTTCTTTTTTTTTAAATTCTTTTATTGGTACTTTGCAGGTATACAACACAATTACATTTCTCATTGGGAATTGTACCTTTACATAATGCATCCTGGTTCTTATTTTTTCCCCATTCCTAGCCCTCCCTTCACCCCCTCAACACTTCCCTATTTACAAAGACTTTATTTCCATTTTTTCCATTTCTCATCATTTTTCCTTTCCCTTCTTTCCTTTCCCCTGCCCTTCCTACTACCCCTTTGGACCTTTTCTTCCTATTTTACATTATCGATTATTCATTCTAATCATTGGTACATTTTAGGTACACAATATAATGACATTCATCATTGGAAATTTGCACCTTTACATAGTCTCTCTTGGTTCTTATTTTTCACCCTTGTCCAGACCTCCCTTCAACCTCTTCATTCCTCCCTATTTACAAAGATTTTGTTCCTATTTTTCCATTTTCTCATATTAATCCCATTCCCTTCTATCCTTTCCCCAGCCCTCCCACTTCCTTCCCCTTTGCCCCTTTTCTTCCTATTTCACATTACCTTATATACATTTAGTCCTTATTTACACTTTCAGTTTCTCACACCAGAGAGACTATTCAGTATTTATACATGTGTGTCCTATTTATTTCACTTAAGAGTATCGCCTCAATGTACATCCACTTAGCTATAAATGTCTCTAATTTCTCATTTTTTATGGCCGAGTAGTACTCCATTTTATAAAAAAAGACACATTTTCTTTATCCAGTCTCCAGTTGATGGGCATTTGGGCTGTTTTCAAGTTTCATCAACTGGAAACAGTCATTTACCACTTTTTAAAAATAAACTTTTATCTAACATCATTTGTGCATACATAGTGTTACTCCATAATTATTTACATATATATTTACATCTTTTGCTAAACTAATATTACAACAGTTCCCAAGTAAATATGGTGAAGCATAACCACCACTATTGTCCCTACAAAACTCTTAAGAAGGTTTTTCAAAGATAATCACAAGTTGAAACTTTAAGAAATTAATTGAAAATATATTTTTCCTTCAGACAAGGAATTACTGTGGTAAATGATGCCTAATTAATACCATCTTAAAATATGTTTTTCTCACTTTACTTTGCAAACCAGGACCCCCCTCAGCTCCTCGGAATGCCATCTCAAATGTTAATGAAACTAGTGTCTTTCTGGAATGGATTCCGCCTGCTGACACTGGTGGAAGGAAAGATGTATCCTATTATATTGCATGCAAGAAGTGCGACTCCCATGCAGGTGTGTGTGAGGAGTGTGGCGGTCATGTCAGGTACCTCCCCCAGCAAATCGGCCTGCAAAACACCTCTGTCATGTTGGTGGATCTGCTCGCTCACACAAACTATACCTTTGAGATTGAGGCAGTGAATGGAGTGTCCGACTTGAGCCCAGGATCCCGGCAGTATGTGTCTGTAAATGTAACCACAAACCAAGCAGGTAAGTGCCATGCCCAGCCAAATTCTAATATTTTAGGCCTATCTCTGTCAGTTTCCAAAGTTGAGGGCAGAGTTGACTGAGTTCTATGAAAGAACATCTTCTTCATCCAGATGACCAGGACTTAAAGTATAACACATCTCAAAATGCTTTCTTGCTTTTAAACAAATAAAAACTAAGACTTAGTTGACATATCCACAGAACAGGAAAAATATATTTCAACTGAATTTTTTCAATAAGAGTGAATTTGTGTTTCAACAGTATATGATTTCACACAATTCCTCTTTATAGTTCAAATGTACACTTTTTTTTCTTTTGCCCTTCAAAATATTTAAATTCATTTATTAGCACATGATTACACAGGTTTTATTTTCCTGTTGGTTTGCTTGCATCGTCCCACAACTGAATTTTATTTGCAGTTTGTAACAGTCTTTCTTATTATGATAACAAAAATGCATGAAGTAATATTTTCTTTGCTAAACGCATTTATCAAAGTTAGAAGAGCTATGAATGATTGTACTGCCACATGAAAACATGTTTATGTTCTTGGTGGAGATCTTGCAATTATTAGGGAGTAATTATTGTATAGTTAGGAATAAGTCCTGTTTAAGCCACTAGCTCCCCTATATTTTCCCTCAAATTTTGACTTTAAGCAAGTCAACATGGAAGACTTCTTTTTGGTAAAATAAAAATCAAACTTAATCCTTAATTGACTTAATAATTCATCCCACTAGGGGCAAGAATGTTTCCAAACCCAAGAGCAATTTATAACTTGTTTTGGTCCAACAACAGATATTTGGTTAGGGAAAACAAAGACATTAAAACCAAAATGTTATAATTTTACTCTGGTTTGTAACTTGGTCAAAACTCTCAGCTCAGGGTCATAGTAAGCTCATCACCTCATTAGTACCTCAGAGGGCTTTGGTTGGTGAGCATATCCTTGCCACCATTACTGACACAACATGTTTGAATCCGATTTGACTAACCTCATATAATAATAGAATGAGTTTGTAGGTGGTGGAATGCTGAGATTGATGAAGGAATAATGTTGATTATCAAGTCTCAGCCAAAATAATTACTTTGGGTTGTTGGATATCTTAGGTAATGTAAGAGTTTGTTTCTCTAGAATAAGAAAATACATGCAGTTGAGTTTGTAGTTAGGTTTTTGATTCAGAATGTTCCATGGGGCACATTCAAGGGTACCAGTATAACGTGGTGGTGAGAGTCATGCTGTGTTCTCATCTGTATTGGATGCATGTCCACAGTATTTTTTTCCAAAAATAATACACATACACATGCACCATTTTCCTCAGTGAATCCCTTATATACTTCTTCATTTACTTAGTAATCTGAGGTGGAACTGAAAGAAGTATTTTCTCATTCCCCATCAAACAAATCTCCATTTGCACAAAAAGTGTTACTTAACTAACTTACTTAACATGTCTTAGATATAATATCACCATGACTAAATGCTTGAATTCTGATATCACAGGGAATGGATAAAAGTATTTAGTTTTTAATATCTACACATTTTTCAACATTGATTAAAGTTACCTACTTTATATGTGATTATTACATAAAATTTCCTTTATGTACATTTAAACTTTAATTTCAAGCTGCTATAAGTTTTGTTTTCTAAATAATATATTTCTTCCTTGAGTAATATATTTCAAATTTGTAATTGGCTTCAACAACTGTTCCAACATATTCCAGTTGATATGATTAGTTTTTGTGTGTAACAGCAAAACAAGGATGAACTGTCCAGATTCAAAAAGTACAAGAAGAAAAAATAGTTGTTTGTTCAAGATAAGAATTTTGTATTAACTGAGAAAGTACAATTGATTACCTAACCCTGACTGATAATCTATAAAGATGTAACTATTAAATAATTAATGTATGGGTATTAATATAGTATTTAAACATTTTCTCTACAATGATATTATCATGGAACCTAGTATGTTGCTCTTTAAAAAAGTTATGTAATATTAAATTATACTTTTTATGTAATTTAATAGTCAAAATGATAAAGTTTTAAGGACTATATTAGAATTGTTTTCAATCTATGATTCTTATAATATGTAGCTACAATACTGAGATTGACATGAAAGTATTCTAAAATTTTTATGAGACTTTGCTCAGTGAAGAAAAACTAAAGTACATAAAATGGAAAAAGTAGATGTAACATAAAGGTAAAATAATGCTGCCTGTCAGGAAAGAAATCATAGGAAAATAAAATGCGAATTCATAACTAGTATAATGAGCTCTTAACAAACAGACAGATTGAAAAGGGAATAAAATAGTGGATAATCTGCATACTGTATGTCTTAAACTTGGGAAAGGAATAAAATACGTTTAGTTCCTCATGTTTTCCAGTGAGTTTATGTGACTTAAATAATACATTATTTTAAAACAATTGCCTTCCAATAAACTTTGTTTGCCAAAAAAGTATTTAGAGTCACTTGATTGCAATGCTTATGCTGCTCTTCTATTTTATTCTTTTAGAGACCCTAAAATATATGACTTTAGATAGTAAGGAGGTAGAAAAGTATATAGGTAGATAGACAGGAAGATCTACACATAGTGTAAGAACTAAAAATTCTATTGAAAGCAATTACTTTGAAAGTTTCATTTTCTGCCCACAAAATAGTGTGAATTTATTATATTCTTTTATAAATTTACTTTTAAGCTTCTGTTTAAAAATAATTTTCCACTGAGTATACATAAGCTACAGCTTAAAGCTCTTTTAATATATAAAAATATTTATTTTACACCAAAGAAAAATAAGCTCATTTAAATCACCAACCCAAAATTAGTAATAAATAACATACAAAAGTACATGATTGGATATGGGCTGAAATAGAGCAGATTTTAATTGTTTTAAATTTAGCCTTAGGCTTTGAGACTTCTCCCCAGGGGCTTTGTTTACATAAGGTGGCAATCTGTAGAAATCTTACCTTTCTCCTCCAGAATGTCCTTGCCCCTCCAGACTCAGAAATCCTGCACGGGTAGGTGCTCCAGTATTTTGATGCGCATTACTTCTAGGCATCTCTGTAGGTGTCTAGAGCACAGTGTAGTGCAGCTCACTAGGTCCCTTCAGCTATGCAACACCTGTGTGGGTGCCCAACATGTTTCCTAGAATGGCCTGAAGGCCGAGAGTTTTGGAAGGCTTGGACTGCAACACTGGAAGTTTCAGAGAATACTGAAACAAGAAGGTGAAAGGACCCTATTTTTTCTCTAAAGAGCCAACAAACATTTTCTTGTGAAGAGATATTTGAAAAGACACTACCATTTGTTAGATCATTATTATAATGCTAAGTAATAGGGGCTTTGTTGATTCTCCTCAGTGCAGAAATCCATTGGCCATTTTTGACATCACTGCATGATTAAACCTATTTTTGTTTGTCAATTTTAATCTGTCTTCAGTATGGACTGAACAGCTAGTTTAAACCTGTTCACATGTTCTTAACTGTCCCTCTCTCTTCCACTATGTCCCTCATGAGGAGTGGCACCAATGGTAACATTTTTCCTCAGAGCTGTTTTGTTGTTGTTGTTGTTGTTTTACTATGCAGTTACATTCATCATTGGGATCTTGTACCTTTACAGAGTTGTTTCTCTTTTTTTCTTTTAGGAAGAGGGAGCTATTATTCAGAAGTTTTAGTTTAACTATTACTACAGTTTTACACCTTTTCCTTCCTGTGTTGCTGAGACAAAGAAAGATTTTGTTATAGAGTAAATGGTTTACCTGTAGACTATAGATAAGAAAAAACATAATCAAAGGTAGGATGAAGTTCACTGTGTCATCTGTAAAATGAACTCAAGGCAAAATTCCACTCATCATGAGACCTTCAGAGTCTCTCCTTAAGCCAGTATTTCTTACTGATTTTCTAAATCCACAAGGATTAATGTTAACCCGAGGGGAAAATTCAATAATCTCTGAAAAGTTTGGGTGTTTATCTCCTCTCCTTTCTCTCTCCAAGGTGTTTAAAAATTGTCACAGGTATCATTAAGAAATAGATATATTTCTATCTAAAGAGGGACATCTATCAAATAGCTGGACATTATACACTATTAACATATGATTCAATTGCAGAGCCCTTTTCAAGAGCATCTACCTTTCTTTTCAATTAAATGGCTATGGAGTAGGCACATGCATTCAAGTATGGAAATTATTATGAAGCCATGACTAACTAGATCATTAAATATGGATTTTTCCTTCCAGATTTTGGTGTACAGATTGATGGTACAGATCTTTGGGCTTATTATTTCAGTCCATGCATAAACAAGTATTCTATTATTACCATTAAAATCCTAATGCCTTCTATGAAATACATACCTACCTTCTGTTCAGGCATAAAGTATTACTCTTTGACCTTTGCTGCTCCTAAATCTAAAGTAATCAAGAAAATATTTCACTTTAGCTTTACATTTTATTTTCAATTATGAAGAACAGAAACAATGGAAATTAAAATGGAAATTGCAGTGTCATCCATTTTGTTTTACATTGCTGTGATGCAGTGTCTTCTGGGCCCTTTCTAAAGATGTAATCAGTGGGCAACATTAAAATAAGGAATTCTCAGTTCCAAGCTTTATTTCACTTGGGTCACCTTTAATTTCAGATTTTTGTCACTAAGTATAGAAATATTTAGCACCTATACCCCTTCCCTGTACTAGCAGAGAATCCCCATCACTCATTTTTACCAGCCTGAATGAAATTCTTGCTTACTTTTACCTGAGGAATGCATAAAATTTATTTCCATGCACATTCCTCCATGCTTTTTCAAATTTAAACTGTAGAATCCAGTAAGACTTAAAGCTTCCTGCCCCCCAAACATTGAATAGCTAATTGGCTCCCAAGAGGATTTTCAGATCTTGAGTTCAGATGGAATAATAAGCTGGGAGAGAGAGTTGCTTTCCATTATGAGTTAACCACCTCAGATAAGATGTGGATTTGGCGTGCAGGTGAAGAGGCAGCTTCCTCCATCTAACTAGGGAGGTCACCAAAT